ACTGAGTGTACCTCAGTTCTGGTTAAGTCCCTTGATTGCAGGGCAAGATGCAGGTCTGGACCCCAAGATCTGTGACTGTGGCCCTGGATCCCAGCCAGCCCACCTAGACCCCACCTTCTAGGCCCCACCTTGAGGAAGTCATCCTGTGTGTCCGGGAAGGGGCCCAGGGCGGTCAGTGTGCTGATGGAGGGCAAGGCGGTCTTGGCTGTGGCCATGGCTGGCTGGTGCCCACCCTGGGCCTCAAGCCTCCTCTTCCTTGGCTGCCTGGTGAACTCTGAGGCTGTGATAGCCCCTTCGAGGGCTCCTTTCTGCCCTTAGCTGATTGGCTGCAGCCTCTGATAAGGGGAGGCAAGACAAGGCAAGGCGGGGGGTCACTGTTTCTGGGGCACAAACTTCACATTGGCCTGTCTGGGTTTGGGACTCAAAGACTAACCCTGTGTCCAAAGCCAAGTCAAATATCAGGGGTTGAGGGGTTCAGGGTTTGAGGGTCCAGGTGCTGGGTAAAAGGAGACATTGGGTCTCCAAAGAAGGAGAGATTCGGGGGTCTGCCCTCAGTTTACTTTCCTGGAAAAGGCAGAAAGGGTATTCTGGGAAGAAGCTGTGGGACCCCCTGTCCCCCTGATTGAGGCTCTACAGCCCTCCCCCTCCCCAGTAAACAGCAAAAACCGTGCCGATGGCGGGACTTGGCACAAACTCCCTGCCAAGCATTATCAGACACCCCAGACGTTGGAGGCTGCTATCAGGTGGGGGCCCAGGCCAGCTAGAGCTCTGTCCTCTGGTGAAGGGGAGAGCTGGGGGTTGGGTCTTCAAATTAGCCTGGCTTTCAATTTGCCTGGGTTGGGACCTCCCAGGGTCTGAGCCCTGTAGCAGGAGGACACCCCTGCCAACTGGCCCACCATGGTCTACTGGGGACCCTCGGGTGGCACTGCATGGGACTGCATGGAGGCTGGTTCAGTGCCAGCTGCTTTAGTGCGATGGGGGCAGTCAAGGGAAAAGTGACCCTCTCTCCTCCTGCGTGGGATAGGACCGTTGGACCAAGCCACAGGCAGTATCTGACCTGCAGGAGACCAGTACCCTGGCTCTGGGCCTGGCTGCTCCTTGATTCTGCCCAAAATGAGGAGAGGATCTGAGTTGCTACAACAGGGACCTCCACTCTGGTGCCCTGGGAGCCTGGGAAGGGGACATGGATACATATTACAGACACATAATTCATAGTCACTCATTGGAAGACTGAGGCAGGAGGATCACTTGATGCCAGGATTTCAAGACTAGCCTGGGCAACATAGAACCTATATTTCCAATAAAAAGCTGTGAGTGGTGGCGCATGCCCATAGTCCCAGATACTTAGGAGGCTGAGATGGGAGGATCGCCTGAGTCCAGGAGGTCGGGGCTGCATTGAGCTATAATCACAACACTGCAATATGACCACACCACTGCAATATGACCACACCACTGCAGTCCAGCCTGGGGAACAGAGAGCAAGACTCTGTCACTGAAAAAAAAAAAAAAAGAGAAAAGTTGGGTGGCCATCTTTATTCCAGGCAGATCAACCTGGGTGACATAAACAAAAACAAGGCCAGGTGCAGTGGCTTACGCCTGTAATCCCAGCACTTTGGGAAGCGGAGGTGGGAAGATTCGAGAACAGACTGGCCAACATGTTGCAGCCCTGTCTCTGCCAAAAGTACAAAAATTAGCCGGGCATGGTGGCATGTGCTTGTAATTGTGGCTACTTGGGAGGCTGAGGCTGGAGAATTGCTTGAAACTGGGAGGCGGGGGGCCAGGCGCAATGACTCACGCCAGTAATCCCAGCACTTTGGGAGGGCGAGGCTGGCAGATCACCTGAGGCCAGGAGTTCAAGACCAGCCTGGCCAACACAGTGAAACCCTGTCTCTACTAAAAATACAAAAATAGGCTGGAGATGGTGGCATATGCCTCTAATGCTAGGTACTTGGGAGGCTGAGGCACAAGAATCACTTAAGCCTGGGAGGCAGAGGTTGCAGTGAGCCAAGATCACACCACTGCACTCCAGCCTGGGCTACAGAGCGAGACTCCCTCTCTAAAAAACAAAAATAAAACAGACTGGGAGCAGTGGCTTATGCCTGAAGTCCCAGCAATTTGGGAGGCCAAGGTAGGAGGAATGCTTGAGCCCAGGAGTTCGAGACCAGCTTGGGCAACACAGTGAGATCCCATCTCTAAAAACAAAAACAAAAACACAGTTACTCACAGGACCATGCAATTGCATAATGACATGAGTTCCTGGTCCCTCAGTCACACTGATCAGATCATATAATTCCTGCACATATAATTGTGTGTCTGTCTGTGTATATGGACTATGCACAGACACACAATTCCCAGGCACTAAAAGACAACCCTATGTTATATTGGTTACACAATGTCATAGCCAAACAATCCTTAAAACACAGAATTCATAATCCACAGGCAGGCACAGTTACACAATCCTACTGACACAATTTAGCTATAATTGAGCAGACACACATGGGGAGTCAGATACATTGTCGCAGAACTTTTTCCTTTTTAGACTGTGTCTCTCTCTCTCTCACCCATGCTGGAGTGCAGTGGCTTGCTTTTGGCTCACTGCAACCTCCACCTACTGGGCTCAAGTGATTCCTCTGCCTCAGGCTCCCGAATAGCTGGCATTACAGGTGCCTGCTACCACGCAAGGCTAATTTTTTTTTTTTTTTTTTTTTTTTTTTTTGAGGCAGAGTTTCACTCTTGTTGCCCAGGCTGGAGTGCAATGGCATGATGTCGGCTCACTGCAACCTCTGCCTCCTGGGTTCAAGCGATTCTCCTGCCTCAGCCTCCCGAGTTGCTGGTATTACAGGCACCCACCACCACATCTGGCTAATTTTTTTTTTTTTTTTTTTTTTTTTTTTGAGATGGAGTCTCGCTTTGTCGCCCAGGCTGGAGTGCAGTGGCGTGATCTCGGCTCACTGCAAGCTCCGCCTTCCGGGTTCACGCCATTCTCCTGTCTCAGCCTCCTGAGTAGCTGGGACTACAAGTGCGCACCACCACGCCTGGCTAATTTTTTGTATTTTTAGTAGAGACGGGGTTTCACCGTGTTAGCCAGGATGGTCTTGATCTCCTGACCTCGTGATCCGCCCGCCTCAGCTTCCCAAAGTGCTGGGATTACAGGCGTGAGCCACCGCGCCTGGTGGTCTGGCTAATTTTTGTATTTTTAGTAGAGATGGGGTTTCCCCATGTTGGCTAGGCTGGTGTCGAACTCCTGACCTCAGGTGATCCACCCGCCTTGGCCTCCCAAAGTGCTGGGATTACAGGTGTGAGCCACCTCACCCAGCCAAAACCTACACTTTATATAGTCACACCACCCATCACTTTTGCAATATGTAAAGTAATTATTTAGTCACACAGTTGCATAGCTACCAGTGCCCAACCATAGGGGATGCACCCAGTTAAACACAGACAACCACAAGGGCATGGCATCATAGGTCCTGAGAGACATACACATTTCTCAACGGATACACAATCAGAGTGGGTGGACCACAAACACACTACACAAAAGACAAAACAGGCGGAGTGCAGTGGCTCACGGAGTGCGGTGGATCACAGGAGGCCAGCCTGACCAACATGGTGAAACCCTGTCTCTACTAAAAATAAGAAAATTGCCAGGCATGGTGGCCCACAAACCTGTAATACCAGCTACATGGGAGGCTGAGACAGGAGAATTGCTTGAACCTGGTAGGCAGAGGTTGCAGTGAGCCAAGACTGCACCACTGCACTCCAGCCTTGGCGACAGAGTGAGACTCTGTCTCAAAATACATAAATAAATAAATACATTTAATTAAACAAAAAAAGAAATAACCATAAAAATGGGCAACGAGCAGCCCTTGGAGTTGTTCTGCTTATGGAGGTTGCAGTGAGAAGAGATGGCGTCACTGCACTCCAGCCTGGGCAACAGAGTGAGACTCCGTCTCAAAAAAAAAAAATTAGCCAGGCATGAAGGCATGCTTCAGTGGTCCCAGCTACTTGGAGGCTGAGGTGGGAGGATTGCTCAAGCCCAGAAGGTGGAAGCTGCAGTGAGCTATGATCGCTCCACTGCACTCCATTCTGGGCGACAGAATGGACCCTGTCTAAAAAGAAAAAACAAAAACAAAACAAAACAACCCACATAGACTCACAGAATCACACAAGTTCACACACACACACACACACACACACACACACACACACACACACACACATATATCTACGTGCTTTTTTTTTTTTTTTTTTTTTTTTTTTTGAGACGGAGTCTCGCTCTGTTGCCCAGGCTGGAATGCAGTGGTGCGATCTCGGCTCACTGCAAGCTCCGCCTCCCGGGTTCACGCCATTCTCCTGCCTCAGCCTCTCGAGTAGCTGGGACTACAGGCGCCCGCCACCACGCCCGGCTAATTTTTTGTATTTTTAGTAGAGATGGGGTTTCACCGTGTTAGCCAGGATGGTCTCCATCTGCTGACCTTGTAATCCGCCCCCTTCGGCCTCCCAAAGTGCTGGGATTACAGGCATGAGCCACCGCGCTCGGCCTGCATGTGCTTCTTGGGACAGACTGGCAGACAGGTTTACTAAGATCGCCCACTCGGAGATCATCTTCCCCACAACCAGCGATCAGAGAACTCGAGACTGGCCTCCTGGGTTGGGGAGGACGCCTAGCGCTCGCGCCAGAATTTCTTTGTTTAATTCTTGGCTTCCTCTGCACACACCCCCTGCAACTGACCAACCAGGAGTGGGCCGAGCACTTTTCTACGGCCAATAAGAGGAGAAACCCAGCTGGCCAATCGATTTCCCTCACTCGTCTTCCGCCCCTACCCCGTTCCGCTTCTTAAAGGGGCTAACCTATCTCCGTGTGGGCCCTCCTATTTCCACAGGCAAGGCTACCTTAGCCCTTTTAAAAGGCAGAGCGCGGAGGGGGCCGGATTCTATGAGGAACCAATGAAAAGCCTCACTCGGCCTCCGCTCCTCCCACTGTTTGCTTAGGTCAAAGGCCTGCGTCAGTTGCACTCTAGCCTGGGCGGTGAGCTGGGAGGTACCAGGTAAGAAGGTAAGGTGGCTCCAGCCGTGGGTGAGAGGAGCTCCGCTGTGACACCCCGGTTCCTGTAGGTCGTCGTCGTTGCTCCGCTCGCTCTGAGAGAGCATGACCCTGAGAGGCGTCTCCGTGCAGCTGCTGAGCCGCGTTCCCGGCCTGCGCGTCTTTCGCACGTGGGTCTCGTCGGCGGCGCAGACCGGTCAGTGTGGGGTCGGGAGTGTGGAGGGAAGGAGTGAGGAACTGGGGGCTTAGGGACTTTCCGGGGTTGACTTTCCCGTTCTGTGCTTGCAGAGAAAGGCGGGAGGACACAGAGCCAACTGGCCAAGTGTAAGGGCCTCTGGTCGCGCCGTGTGTCTGCTGCCCCTGTTCAGCTGTCTGTCGGCCCCAGGTGGACTCTGTCCCAGAATCCGAGGGCTGCCCGAGCAGGGTGGCAGGGTCGTGGCCAGGGTCAGAGGCACTAAGGCAGTGAGTGCGCTGTGCCTGCGGGGCCGGAGAAAGCTCACCTGGTCAGTCTCGTTTGCAGCTCGCAGTAGCCGGGAGGCGACATGGGTGTGGAGCGGTAGGGCTGATGAGGGTCCGAGAAGGGAGGGCACAGTGATCGGGCGGACTGGACCGAGGTGAATTCCTGCTCCCCTTCCCAGCCTCGCGTCCTGAGTTTGACTGGCGGGACCCGCTGGTGCTGGAGGAACAGCTGACCACAGATGAGATTCTCATCAGGGACACCTTCCGCACCTACTGCCAGGAGAGACTCATGCCTCGCATCCTGTTGGCCAATCGCAACGAAGGTGGGCGGGCTGGTGGGTGACCTGAGGCTGCTCCTCCCCCTGGAGCCACAGCCACCCCGCCTCAAGGCCCCCTTGTCCTTGGGGCTGGGGCTTCCTGTGGCCTAGGGCTGGGCCTGAATTTGGGCACTTGTCCCTTTGCAGTTTTTCATCGGGAGATCATTTCGGAGATGGGGGAGTTGGGTGTGCTGGGCCCCACCATCAAAGGTAGGAACAGGTGTCTCTCCACACACTGCAGACCCCTCTGTATTCTGAAAGCCTCTTCCTCCTTCCCTCCCTGCCGCCCTCCTTCCCTCTCTCCTCCCTCCCTCCCTCCCTCCCTCCCTTCTTTCTCTTTCTTTTCCTTTCCTTTTCTTTCCTGTCTTTTTTTTTTTTTTTTTTTTCCCCTGGAGTCTGAGGCTGGAGTGCAGTGGCACTATCTTGGCTCACTGCAAACTCCGCCTCCCAGGCTCAAGCGATTCTCCTGCCTCAGCCCTTCTAGTAGCTGGGATTACAGGCATGTGCCACCATGCCTGGCTAATTCTTGTATTTTTAGTAGAGACAGGGTTTCACCATGTTGGCCAGGCTGGTCTCAAACTCCTGACCTCAGGTGATCTACCCACCTCAGCCTCCTAAAGTGCTGGGATTACAGGCTTGAGCCACCGTGCCCGGCCAATTTTTGTATTTTTAGTAGAGACGGGGTTTCACCATGTTTGCCAGGCTAGTCTCGAACTCCTAACCTCAGGTGATCCACCTGCCTCAGCCTCCCAAAGTGCTGGGATTACAGGTGTGAGCCACCATTGCCCGGCCCTTTTCTTTTTCTTTTTTTTTTGAGACGGAGTCTCGCTCTGTTACCCAGGCTGGATTACTGGATTACAGTGGTATGATCTTGGCTCACTGCAGTTTCCTCCTCCCAGGTTCAAGCACTTCTGCCACCTCAGCCTCCTAAGTAGCTGGGATTACAGGGGCGCACCCCCACACCTAGCTAATTTTTTATTTTTAATAGAAATGGAATTTCACCATGTTGGCCAGGCTGGTCTTGAACTCCTGACCTTGGATGATCCACCCGCCTCGACCTCCCAAAGTGATGGGATTATAAGCTTGAACCACTGTGCCTGGCCCCTTTGTTCCTTTTTTTAGAGACAGGGTCTCACTATGTTGCCCAGGCTGGTCTCAAGCGATCCTCCTGCCTTACTGAAAGCCCCCTTCTTTCCCTAAGCCACAATTTCCCAGTGTGTAAAGTGGGGCTGTTGTCCCACCCTCTGAAAGTGGCTATGGAGATGAAATGAATAAACCTCAGCTAGGGCCAGCTTGGTGCCTGCCTCCTTGTGTGTCCCTATCCCGCCCTGTCTCTTGGGTCCTAGCTGGGCAGGGTCGTGTTCTCTATTGTCCTGCTTTCCCCTCCTACTACCACCAGGATATGGCTGTGCTGGGGTTTCGTCTGTGGCCTATGGGCTCCTGGCCCGAGAGCTGGAGCGGGTGGACAGTGGCTACAGGTCGGCGATGAGTGTCCAGTCTTCCCTCGTCATGCACCCCATCTATGCCTATGGCAGCGAGGAACAGCGGCAGAAGTACCTGCCCCGGCTGGGTGAGTGGCTGGCCATAGGGCCTGGTGGAAGGAAGACAGTCCCTGAGGTCTGGAACTCAAGGGTGGGGCTGTCCCCTGAATCTATTCTGTCCCTATCTCAAAGATAGCATAAGTGGCCACCTGGACCCCCTGCCAGACCCTGGGCTTCACCTGGAGATCTGATCCCTGGCCAGCCTGATTGTCCCCCTCTGTGACCACCATCATCTCCCTACACTTTCTATGTGCCCCAGCCCAGCCCAAAGTGTAAAATCCACCAGGTCCCTGCTGGCCATGTGCAGTGGCTCACACCATAGTCCCAGCACTTTGGGAGGGTGAAGTGAGAAAATCCCTTGAGCCCAAGAGTTCGAGACCAGCCTGGGCAATGTAAGGAGACCCCATGTCTATTAAAAAACAAAAAAAGGGCCGGGCGCGGTGGCTCACGCCTGTAATCCCAGCACTTTGGGAAGCCGAGGCGGGCGGATCGCAAGGTCAGGGGATCGAGACCACAGTGAAACCCCGTCTCTACTAAAAATACAAAAAATTAGCCAGGTGCGGTAGCGGACACCTGTAGTCCCAGCTACTCAGGAGGCTGAGGCAGGAGAATGGCGTGAACCCAGGAGGCGGAGCTTGCAGTGAGCCGAGATCGCGCCATTGCATTCCAGCCTGGGTGACAGAGCAAGACTCCGTCTCAAACAAAAAAAAAAAAAAAGAAAGAAAGCGCCTATGTGGCCGGAGCTAAGCGGACGTTGACCCTCTTTTCCATGGCGCCTCGGAGGCGTTCAGCTGCTTCATGATGAAGCTGAACATCTCCTTCCCAGCCACTGGCTGCCAGAAACTCATTGAAGTGGACAATGAACGTAAACTTTGTACTGTTTTTTTTTTTTTTTTTTTTTTTTGAGACGGAGTCTCGCTCTGTCACCCAGGCTGGAGTGCAGTGGCCAGATCTCAGCTCATTGCAAGCTCCGCCTCCCAGGTTCACGCCATTCTCCTGCCTCAGCCTCCCGAGTAGCTGGGACTACAGGCGCCCGCCACCTCGCCCGGCTAGTTTTTTATATTTTTTAGTAGAGACGGGGTTTCACCGGGTTAGCCAGGATGGTCTCGATCTCCTGACCTTGTGATCCGCCCGTCTCGGCCTCCCAAAGTGCTGGGATTACAGGCTTGAGCCACCGCGCCCGGCACTTTGTACTGTTTATGAGAGGCATATGGCCACAGAAGTTGCTGCTGACGCTCTGGGTGAAGAATGGAAGGGTTATGTGGTCCGAATCAGTGGTGGGAACAACAAAACAAGGTTTCCGCATGAAGCAGGGTGTCTTGACCCACGGACGTGTCCACCTGCTACTGAGTAAGGGGCATTCCTGTTACAGACCAAGGAGAACTGGAGAAAGAAAGAGAAAATCAGTTCGTGGTTGCATTGTGGATACCAATCTGAGCGTTCTCAACTTGGTTATTTTAAAAAACTAAGGAGAGAAGGATATTCCTGGACTCATACTACAGTGCCTCATTGCCTGGGGCCCAGTAGAGCTAGCAGAATCTGTAAACTTTTCAATTTCTCTAAAGAAGATGATGTCTGCCAGTATGTTGTAAGAAAGCCTTTAAACAAAGAAGATAAGAAACCTAGGACCAAAGCACCCAAGATTCAGTGTCTCGTTACTCTACATGTCCTGCAGCACAAACGGCAGCGTATTGCTCTGAAGAAGCAGCGTACTAAGAAAAACAAGGAAGAGGCTAGAGAATATGCTAAACTTTTGGCCAAGAAGGAGGCTAAGGAGAAGCACCAGGGACAAATTGCAAAGAGACGCAGACTGTCCTCTCTGCGAGCTTCTACTTCTTTTTTTTTTTTTTTTTTTTTTTTTTTTTTGAGGCGGAGTCTGGCTCTGTCGCCCAGGCTGGAGTGCAGTGGCCGGATCTCAGCTCACTGCAAGCTCCGCCTCCCGGGTTCACGCCATTCTCCTGCCTCAAGACTCCCGAGTAGCTGGCACTACAGGTGCCCGCCACCTCGCCCGGCTAGATTTTTGTATTTTTTAGTAGAGACGGGGTTTCACCGGGTTAGCCAGGATGGTCTTGATCTCCTGACCTCGTGATCCGCCCGTCTCGGCCTCCCAAAGTGCTGGGATTACAGGCTTGAGCCACCGCGCCCGGCCGAGCTTCTACTTCTAAGTCTGAATCCAGTCAGAAATAAGATTTTTTGAGTAATAAATAAGATCAGATTCACCAAAAAAAAAAAAAAAAAAAAAACCACAAGGCTCTATGTAACCAGGCCTCTGCTGACCTTCCCACCTCTTCTCTGGCCACTCACGTGCTCCTCCCAGCCAGACTTGGCTCCTGGAAATTCTCCAGAAGTACCACCAGTCCTTTGCACATCTGTTCCCTCTCCTGGCACTGCTGTTCCCCACAGCCTCCTCCTGCTTAACTCCTCACGCCCTTCCAGTTTGGCCAACTCCTTCCTGACTCCTTGGGTCCCCCTCCCCATCTTGACATTGTGATCATGACTTTGGGGTAACCTGTCTCCTGAAAGCAGGGCCAGATCTAACTTAGTTATGAGGCCTGACTCAGGGGCTAGGGTAATTTTTTTTTTTTTTTTGAGACGGAGTCTTACTCTGTCCCCCAGGCTGGAGTGCAGTGGTACGATCTTTGCTCACTGCCACCTCCGGCTCCCCAGTTCAAGCAATTCCCCTGCCTTAGCATCCTGAGTAGCTGGGATTACAGGTGCTTGCTACCCATGCCTGGCTAATTTTTGTATTTTTGGTAGAGATGGGGTTTCACCATGTTGGCCAGGCTGGTCTCAAACTCCTGACCTCAAGTGATCCACCTGCCTTGGCCTCCCAAAGTGCTGAGATTACGTGTGTGAGCCACCTCGCCTGGTTTAATTTTTTGTGTTTTCAGTAGAGATGAGGTATCACCATGTTGGTCAGGCTGGATTTTTTTTCTTTTTTTTGTTTTTGTTTTTGTTTTTTTTGAGGCGGAGTCTCGCTCTGTTGCCCAGGCTGGAGTGCAGTGGGCGGATCTCAGCTCACTGCAAGCTCCGCCTCCCGGGTTTACGCCATTCTCCTGCCTCAGCCTCCCGAGTAGCTGGGACTACAGGCGCCCGCCACCTCGCCCGGCTAGTTTTTTGTATTTTTTAGTAGAGACGGGGTTTCACTGTGTTAGCCAGGATGGTCTTGATCTCCTGACCTCGTGATCTGCCCGCCTCGGCCTCCCAGAGTGCAGGGATTACAGGCTTGAGCCACCGTGCCCGGCCTGAGTCTTGCTCTTTTGCCCAGGCTGTAGTGCAGTGGCATGATCTTGGCTCACTGCAACCTCTCCTGCCCAGGTTCAAGCGATTCTCCTGCCTCAGTCTCCTGAATGCTGGGATTACAGGCACACGCCACCACATCTGGCTATTTTTTTTTTTTTTTTTTTTTGTATTTTTAGTAGAGATGGGGCTTCCCCATGTTGGCCAGGCTGGTCTTGAACTCCTGACCTCAATTGATCCACCCGCCTCGGCCTCCCAAAGTGCTGGGATTACAGGCGTGAGCCATTGAGTCCTGCCACAAGGATAATTTTTGAGTGAGGGGATGTATTGGGGACCAGGTAGCCATGTGACTGTCTTGTGCCTGCAGCCAAGGGGGAGCTCCTGGGCTGCTTCGGGCTCACAGAGCCCAACAGCGGAAGTGATCCCAGCAGCATGGAGACCAGAGCCCGCTACAACTCATCCAACAAGAGCTACACCCTCAACGGGACCAAGACCTGGTAAGGGGTCTAGGCAGTGGGCAGGCGGTGAACAGGGGCAAAGGGACGCTGGTCAGACCCCTCACCGACTGTTCTATCCCCAGGATCACCAACTCGCCTATGGCCGACCTGTTTGTAGTGTGGGCTCGGTGTGAAGATGGCTGCATTCGGGGCTTCCTGCTGGAGAAGGGGATGCGAGGTCTCTCGGCCCCCAGGATCCAGGGCAAGTTCTCGCTGCGGGCCTCAGCCACAGGCATGATCATCATGGATGGTGTGGAGGTGCCAGAGGAGAACGTGCTCCCTGGTGCATCCAGCCTGGGGGTGAGTGGCAGCCACTTTGGGAATGGGTGTTGGGTCACCTGCAGGTGCGGCTTTGTCAGGCAGGCTCCGTGCGGGGGACGCAGCTCCCTGTTCCTGTGGAGCCCACACAGTGGTGATTCTTACTCAGCCGGACTCACTGATGTGCTGAAAACTGCCCCTGTTTGGTGACCGTCTCGCTCATCCCGGCTCTGCCCGGGACACATGGGCCTGAACCAGCTCAGTCGTTGTACTCACAGTGCATCTTCTGGCATCCATCAGCCTCCTAGCTCTGAGCATGGAACCCAGATCCCAGGCTGGGTGGGACTGTGTGCAAACCAAGTGAGCAGGCACCAAGCTTCGGTGCCAGGGCCGTCTGTGATGTGAACCCCCTGCGTGGGGTGGCTGGGGAGGAGGCTTTCCCTGCTTCAGAGTTGGTTCTACATAGGCACTCTTGGTGTCTCTTGGGTGGGGCTGAGGTGCCATCTCAACTCTACAGGGTCCCTTTGGCTGCCTGAACAACGCCCGGTACGGCATCGCGTGGGGTGTGCTTGGAGCTTCGGAGTTCTGCTTGCACACAGCACGGCAGTACGCCCTGGACAGGTGTGTGGGGGCTGCAGTGAGATCCCCTGGGGCTGTGGGGCAGCTTGGGTTTCATTCTCTACCCCATGGGTGACTCCCCAGCCCCCACCCACCAGGCCTGAGTTCCTTGCTCTGGAATGACCAGTGACGTCCTTCTGAGCAGTCATGGGCTGAGTCAACAGCAGGGCCAGGGTGAGCTCGGGGGCACTGAGGCAGCCTGGGAGGCTTCCTGGAGCAGGGGGCCCCAGGACAGGGACGGGGTGGGAGAGTGGACCTCCCCTCACCCTTACCCTGCCATTGCCCCTGTAGGATGCAGTTTGGTGTCCCACTGGCCAGGAACCAGCTGATTCAGAAGAAGCTGGCAGACATGCTCACTGAGATTACCCTGGGCCTTCACGCCTGCCTGCAGCTTGGCCGCTTGAAGGACCAGGACAAGTAGGGGTTGTGTGGCGGGGGCTGGGGGACGGCAACTGTGGGTGGAGGACCTTGTGTCTTTCCTGGAGAGAAAGGTCCTTCCTGCCTGGTGGCCCCGGGGACCTGAACCTTCTGCTCTCCCTCTTGTCTTTGATGGGCTGGGCTGAGGACAGCCCCACTGGTCCCTCATTGGGAGCTTGGCTGCATCAGGGAATCCCCACCCCGGGCTAGGTTTGCTTGGGGCATCGGGATGCCAGAATCCCCAGTCCTTGTTACCCTCATGTATTGCTCCCAGGGCTGCCCCTGAGATGGTCTCTCTGCTGAAGAGGAATAACTGTGGGAAAGCCCTGGACATCGCCCGCCAGGCCCGAGACATGCTGGGGGGGAATGGGATTTCTGACGAGTATCACGTGATCCGGCACGCCATGAACTTGGAGGCTGTGAACACCTACGAAGGTGGGAGCTGGACCTCAAGAGGGCTCGCTGCAGCCTCAGTGTCTGGGGTGGGGGTACAGCGAGGTGGTACGGGGACAGGCCTGAGTCTGATTCCACCTATCACTAAGTGACAGTGTGACCTGGGGCGAGCCTCACCCCTCTGTCCCTCATCTGGAGTTGCTTACACGGGGACTGTGGAAGTGAAGTGCTTCATGCACCACATGGAGGCCCCATCATGCCTTGCGAGGGGCTCCCAGCTCTTTCTCCCACATGCTGGGGATGAGGAATGTTCCTGAGACAGGTAAGCTCCGAAGGCAGCCCAGGGGTGAGGCCCAACTCCTAGCAGGCTGGTGGATGTGAGCGAAGCTACACGCAGGACTCAACGCTCCATTTTATGTTAAGAGACAAAAGTCATCTTAAGATGACGGTGTTTGCACCCTGCAACTGATGGTGATTTACATGGTGGCCCAGAACCCCTTGCTTGGTGGGAAGACAGATGTGGAAAAAGATACTTAAAAAAAAGAAAGTGCAAACCCAGTGTGCACTATGCAGGAACAGAGGGAGGTATGAGGACCCCACCCCGGCAGAGAGGCTTCCAGACAGAGAGGACAGCAAATGCAGGAGGGGTGCCTTCCCTGCGCCACAGCCCCAGATCTTATCTCTATCTGGCAGCTGGTGGGTGGGGGGATCCTACAAGTGTGAGAATGACCCTGAGGACAAGCAGAGGGCGCCGTGAGACGGTTTTATGCAGAGATGGCATGAGTCAGATTTGGTGCTTTACAGGCTGGGCGCAGTGGCTCACACATGTAATCCCAGCACTTTGGAGGCTAAGGTGGGAGGATTGCTTGAGTCCAGGAGTTAGAAGTTACAATGAGCAATGATCACTGTGCAACTGCACTCCAGCCTGGGTGACAGAGTGAGACTGTCTCAAAAAGAACAGAAACAAAGGCCGGGCGCAGTGGCTCAAGCCTGTAATCCCAGCACTTTGGGAGGCCGAGGTGGGCAGATCACGAGGTCAGATCGAGACCATCCTGGCTAACACAGTGAAACCCCATCTCTGCTAAAAATACAAAAAATTAGCCGGGCGTGGTGGCAGGCGCCTGTAGTCCCAGCTTCTCAGGAGGCTGAGGCAGGAGAAGGGCATGAACCCGGGAGGCGGAGCTTGCAGTGAGCTGAGATCTGGCCACTACACTCCAGCCTGGGCGACAGAACGAGACTCCGTCTCAAAAACAAAACAAAACAAAAATAGGTTTGTACTTTAGGAAGTAAACAGAATTGGCTCTAAAAAGGAGGCTACAATCTTGCCTTCTGCTCCATGGAGCTGGGGAGGAGCAAAGGATGAGACACCAGGGCGTAAGGTGTGGCAGAAGCTACCTCTTCTCTGGGAGAGGTGGCTTCAGGTGGGCAGAGGTCAGCTGAGGCAAGTGACCGCTTTTCCGACGTGCTGTCCCTCCCGTCCCTCCCAAGGGTAAGAAAGGGCAGCCTGCTGTGTTTCCCTGGAGCTCAGGGGTGCTTTTAGCCTCTGCGGCAAGGAAGCGTGGCCAGGTTGAAAATCAAACATTTAATAAACTGTGGGCCTGGGGGTGAGGAGAACTTGCCAAGGGTGGGGAGCATGAAGGCTGGGCCCATGGCAGGGGCTGAACTTGCTACGTTTTGGGAGTTCAGCACAAGGAGCTTTGGGTTTTTGTTTTTTTTCTGCCAAGATGCATTATAGAACCATGAAAAACAATTTCTCAGTGTGGCCCAAATGGTGGCCTCACAGTCTTCTGGAGGCTGTCACTAAGGCGTGAGTCTCCCGGCAGCTGTCAGCATTCACCATCTCTGTGGGTCTGTTCTTCTGAAGCAGTGGCCTGGGGGGACATGAAAATTCATTTTAAAGGAAGTTGTGAGCCGTGAAGACTCCAAACCAACTCTATATTAATCTTGTCCAGGTACACATGACATTCACGCCTTGATCCTTGGGAGAGCTATCACGGGAATCCAGGCATTCACGGCCAGCAAGTGAGCCTACCCCATCAGGGGCCCAAAACTCTGAAGCCCCTTTCTGGAGAGAGGCCTGGCTGGACCGCAGGAGCGCCATGCTCTGAGAGGGAGGTGGCGGATGGCGTGGGAAGTGAGAGACACTGATTTTTAAATATCAAAATTTCCCTTTGAAGTCGTTCGGATGTGTTCCTTAAAAAGAAGATGGAATTCTCTGTAGAGCGTCTCAATCCACTTTTAACCATGGATGAGAACAGACTCCATTTACCCTGAAATAGCAGCTTTTCTTGAGAGGAGAGTGACATTGAAGCAACTCCATCTGCTCTAGCCGACCCCTCACACCGAGTTCACAGTGTGCCCTCCGTCCCTCCCGTCTGGGGGTAGTGCCTTATGCTGGGTGTTGGAGCGGAGTGAGGGAGAGGAAAATAAAGAGCTGCACATCTGACCCCAAGGTGTCAGGCCGGTTTACTAGTAACCACCTGAGAAGTAGTTTCAGCCATGGAAGAAACGAACACGTCTGGGGGCTGTGAGTCGCTGGGACGTGGTGGGGACTTCCCCCTAGAGTGGTCTGGCCCCCGTCTGAGTCTTAGGCTCTGGTGTGAAAAAGAAACCCAGGTTAGCAGTGACAGGCTGTGCCAGGGCTGCAGGGCTCAGGGCTGTGGGCAGAGGGGATGATTTCTGAGTGGCAGGGGTGCAGGGGACTTTGTCCTTTCTGTCACCACAGAGCTGCTCATACAACAGTGGGACATGACAACGGTTTGGCTTCTCAGCTCAGACACACCATGTTATGTAGGGGACCACAAACAAGATGGTAAGTGCACCAGGGGCTTTGCAGGGACTGTGGCCTGGTGGGGTCAGTGCTGGGTGCCTGGTTTCTGTTCACATTTACTCTTGGCTGGGCCATCCCTGTCCTCTTCCTCAGGCAGCGCCCCCCATGTGAGTTTCCTCATACCTCAGGCTGGAGACACAGGTCTTTGTACACAGTCTCCACGCTGTGGCAGACTTGTTTGAGCTCTGTCTCCAAATGGCTGATCTTTGCCATTTTCTGGGTGAACTCTTGGAGCTTTTCCTGGATGATCTTGTTGTGGTCATTATAAATCTGATAGATCCTCTCCTCTAATTTCTCTGTCAGATCTGAAACCTTTTAAAGAATAAGATGTGTTCTTGGAAAATCAAACAAGAGGTATCACAAGACATATGTGTTAAGTGGGTTTCTTAGATTTCTGTAATTTATCTTATGAAAATGGCAAAATAGGCCGGGCACGGTGGCTCACGCCTATAATCCCAGCACTGTGGGAGGCAGAGGCGGGTGGGTCACTTGAGGTCAGGAGTTTAAGACCAGCCTGGCCAACATGGTGAAACCCCGTCTCTACTAAAAATACAAAAATTAGCCGGGCATGGTGGCACATGCCTGTAATCCCAGCTACTCGGGAGGCTGAGGCAGGAGAATCACTTCAACCCAGGAGGTAGAGGTTGCAGTGAGCCGAGATTCCACCACTGCACTCCAGCCTGGACAAGAGTGAGACTCCGTCTCAAAAAAAAAAAAAAGAAAGAAAATGGCAAAATAGGCCAGGCATGGTGGCTCATGCCTGTAATCCCAGCACTTTGGTAGGCCGAGGTGGGTGGATTACTTGAGGCCAGAAGTTCAAGACCAGCCTGGCCAACATGGTGAAAACCCATCTCTATTAAAAATATAAAAACTAGCTGGGCATGGTGGCATGCGCCTGTAATTCCAGCTACTTGGGAGGCTGAGGCAGGAGAATTGCTTGAACTGGGGAGGTGGAGGTTGCAGTAAGCCAAGATGATGCCATCGCACTCCAACCTGGGCAACAAGAGTGAAACTCCATCTCAAAAAAAAAAAAAAAAATTAGCAAGGCATAGGTGACGCACGCCTGCAGTCCCAGCTACTCAGAAGGCTGTTGCAGGAGGATCAGTTGAGCCCAGGAGTTAGAGGCTACAGTGAGTCATGATCACACTAATGCACTCCAGCCTGAGTGACCCTACCTCAAAAAAAGAAAAGAAAAACACCAAAAACTAAAACCCAGTGCAGTGACTGGGGGTCAGATTGCCTATATGTTAAATTTTCTTGTTTTCTTGAGGCAGAGTTTCACTCTCGTTGCCTAAGCTGGAGTTCAATGGCATGATCTCAGCTGACTGCAATCTCCGCCTCCTGGGTTCAAGGGATTCTCCTGCCTCAGCCTCCCGAGTAGCTAGGATTATAGGCGAGCGCCACCACGCCCAATTAAGTTTTTGTATTTTTAGTAGAAATGGGGTTTCACCATGTTAGCCAGGCTGGTCTCGAACTCCTGACCTTAGGTGATCCACCCTCACCCCCACCGGCCTCCCAAAGTGCTGAGATTACAGGCATGAGCCACCGCACCTGGCCTGTTAAATTTTTTTAACAGGCAAAAGTATATACAGTCGTGTGCGGCATATTGACATTTTGGTCAATGTCAGACTGTATATACAATGATGGCCCATAAGAATATAATGCCATATTTTTACTGTACCTTTTCTGTGATTAGATATATTTAGATACACAAATACTTACCATCGTGTTATAAGTGCCTACAGTATTCAGTATGGTAACAGGTAACAAGCTGTGTGCAGGTTTGTAGCTTAGGAGCAATAGGCTCTTCCATGTAGCCTAGGTGTGTAGTAGACTATACCATCTAGGTTTGTGTAAATTCACTCTATGATGTTCAGATGATGACAGTGTCACCTAGGGATGCATGTCACAGAACTGTACAGGACAAGCTCAGCCAGGTTAGGAAGAAAGTACACAGAATAGAAGAGGCATCCAACAAAGTGGCCTCTGGGTGGTGTATCCAAAAAATAATAAATAAATGTTTTTGTATCTTTTCGGTTTGTTTGTTTTTTTTTTTTTTTTTTTTTTTTTTTTTTTTGAGACGGAGTCTCGCTCTGTCGCCCAGGCTGCAGTGCAGTGACTGGATGGCAGCTCACTGCAAGCTCCGCCTCCCGGGTTTACGCCATTCTCCTGCCTCAGCCTCCCGAGTAGCTGGGACTACAGGTGCCCGCTACCTCGCCCGGCTAGTTTTTTGTATTTTTTAGTAGAGACGGGGTTCACCGTGTAGGCCAGGATGGTCTCGATCTCCTGACCTCGTGATCCGCCCGTCTCGGCCTCCCAAAGTGCTGGGATTACAGGCTTGAGCCACCACGCCCGGCCTTTGTATCTTTTCTACTAGAGGCCAAGGCAGCGGGGTGAGGAGTTGAAGACCAGCCTGGGTAACATAGCAAGATTCCAACTCTACAAAAAAAATTTTAAAGAAAATTAGCTAGGTGACTGCACCGAGCCAATTTTTCTATTTTTAGTAGAGATGTGGTTTCACCATGTTGGCCAACCTGGTCTCTTAACTCCTGGCCTCAAGTGATCCACCTGCCTCGGCCTTCCAAAGTGCTGGGATTACAGGCATGAGCCACTGCGCCTGGTCCCCCCATTATATATTTTGAAGAGGCATCAGGCACAACCATTCATGTAAGACCTGAACAGCACACCAGCTTTTGCAAGACGTAAGCCCCGGGCATGTTGAAAAACCTCCACTGCCCCATCACAGCCCATTCGATGGCTTCTGCTGGACATATGGTTGTGACAATGCAAGTTATGCCTTGACCCCCTACTCCCATGGCTGCTTGACCTTGTGTGAAGTAACAGGGCTGGGTGTTGGAGGCAGGAGGGTATCCAATGCCCTGCTCCTTCAGCCTGGCTCTCTCATGAGGCAAATCATTCATTTCCAAGCCTTATCTATAAAATGGGTCCAATCTCTTCACTGTAGGACTATTCTAAGGGTAAACTGAGATACAGATGGTCCCCAACTTACTACAGTTCAACTTACTACATTTTTCACTTATAGCATTTTCAACTTGCAATGAGATTATTGGGATGTAGCCCCATCATACGTGGAGGAGCGCCTGTGCTGTGTGTGAATGGTCTAGCACCGTGCCTGGTGTACAACAGACATTCATCAGTGGTTCATTCCCTCCCCTTTTGCATAAGGAATCCCCCCTCTCGCTGGGTGAAGTCTGTCACCTTGGTCTTCAGGCTGTTCCTGAAGTTGGTCATGAGCGCATGGTCCTTTTGCCGGCTCTCGTTGATGTTTTCGATCAGCTCCTGGGCTCTCTTCTGCAGGATGTCGATGCTTGAGTCCAGAGAGGAGAAGTAGAGTCCCGACTTCCCTTCCAGCACTGTCAGCTGGCAACTGGCACTGGAGATGGCGACACAAGGGCAAGAAACCTGACTTCACAGAGTACAGGATGCGGCCGGGTACGGTCGCTCATGCCTGTAATCTCAGCACTTTGTAGGCCGAGGTGGGCGGATCACAAGGTCAGGAGTTCGAGACCAGCTTGGCAACATGGTGAAACCTCGCCTCTACTAAAAAAAAAAAAAAAAAAAAAAAAATTAGCCAGGCACAGTGGCATGTACCTGTAGTCCCAGCTACTTGGGAGGCTGAGGCAGGAGAATTGCTTGAACCCAGGAGGTGAAGTTGCAGTGAGCCAAGATCATGCCACTGCACTCCAGCCTGGGTGACAGAGCGAGACTCCATCTCAAAAAAAAAAAAAAAAAAAAAGTACAGGACGCTGAGATCAGCACCAGACTCTTCCAAGACCAGCTGATCTGAGAGAGCTACATGGTGGGAGGGGACCCACATTGTTGCCTTCCATGGGTGATACGAGGCATGCTTCCTAGGTTATTCCATTCACACACATGCCCTGAACGATGAGAATGGCACCTCATTTTATAGCTGAGAAAACAGACCAAGAGGCACGACTAAATATGCACAAGGTTCCAGACCAAGGAGGTCTCTCTGACCCCAAAGCCCACTGTTATTTTATGACACCAACTCGCTTCTTTGGAATACCAATAATAGTATCAATGCTTTCTTTCTTACTTTCTTTTTTTTATAGAGACAGGTCTTGCTCTGTTGCTCAGGCTGGAGTGCAGTGGCACAATCATAGCTCACTGCAGTGTCAACCTCCCAGGCTCCAGTGATCCTCCCACCTCAGCCTCCTGAATAGGTGGGACTACAAGCATGTGCTACCATGCAGAGCTAATTTTTTAAATTTTTAAATAGAGACTGGGCTTCACTATGTTGTTCAGGCTGCTCTCAAACTTCTGGCCTCCCAAAATGTTGGGATTACAGGTATGAGCCACTGTGCCTGACTGATGTAATCAGCAATCTCTTGCAACCTCCGCCTCCTGGGTTCAAGCGATTCTCCTGCCTTAGCCTCCCGAGTAGCTGGGACTACAGGTGCACACCATCACACCCAGCTAATTTTTGTACTTTTAGTAGAGACGGGGTTTCACCATGTTGGCCAGGCTGGTCTCGAACTCCTGACCTCAAGTGATCCTCCTGCCTCGGCCTCCCAAAGTGCTGGGATTACAGGGGTGAGCCACCGCACCCAGCCTGATGCTTTCTTAAGTGACCT